TCTTTGTAGTGTGTATATTTTTTAATTTCCACCTCGTTCCACTAACTCCGACAATTATATTATGATTATTTTAGGTGGCTGGAGAGGTTGAAAAGTCGGCTCATACTCCCAAGAAAACACGCATCCATAGTCAACTGAGTAAATCTCCTAGACACACCTCTGTAGAGAAAGAAGTTGCATCGCCAATAACTGGACCAAAGCCCGACAAACAGAGAAAGGACAAAAAACCAGAGGTGTATTCTGAAAAATCACCAAAGGTAAATGTTGTTTGCAGTTAGTACTATTTCAGTCACATTTATTATTGAAAGTTTTACTCATTCAATTACAGTTAGTAGTTAGTTAGTATGACCTGATGAATTGTTTTTCCCAGGAAGTTGATGTTGATGACGACATGGGTTGGCTAGAAGAGCCCGTGGCAGTCCACTTTGGTGCAGATGAAGAACAACAATGCACCAAAACTAAGAAGTTTCAAAGGTGCACTCCTAAGAAGATTGAAACAAATTCCCGGCTTCCCAGAAGATCCCCGCGACACATATTACACAAGACTGACACACCATTCGAAGGTGTAAAGGAAGAATTGGGGAATGATGGTGTGGAAGTGTTGAAAGTCAACAGGCCTCAAATGAAAAAGAAATCTGTTCCTGTCAGAAAGCTTACTATGCAACGAACAACAAGGTCCATAGCAGAGAAAAGACAAGGACAAAGCATGAACATGAAGATGTTCTCCATCCTGATTGAGCGATGCCTGGGAGATGGGTACATGATACCGAATGACGCAGAGGTGTTTGGGTTTCCAACGAAATCTGTTTTCAATAAGGAAATGTGCCGCATAGTGATCAAATGTGAGAAGGTCTCAAACTCTGTGATAGAAATTTGGTGCAAGTAAGTGTCTAGCAAATACATGAATCTGCCTTGGGAATTTTTAGTACAAATTTCACTGTTTTTTTCGATTTGCAGGAACCTTTATGAAAAAATGTTGGAGGATGGAGGGGAAATGCCTGTCCAGTTTGGTACATCAGCTGCTATACCACGTCCAAAGAGACCATCTCATGATTCCATCACAAGGAGGTCGCAATACGTATCAGATCTTTTGGTTGTCGGTTTACTTGGACAAATCACTTTACTCTCGTACAATTCAGGGTGCGTTTTCTGTACAAAATTGCCTCTTGTTTGCGAATGAGAATGTCAGGGAGCCACAATCAGATAATCCAGATTTTCAAAGAATGATAAAGCTAATATTAATTATAATGATATTAATAATCAAACTTACAGATTTAGTATATGAATAAAAGGAATATTTTATTAAATAGAATAAAAGGAATATTTTCCTTTTAAATAAAAATAAATCAATAGTAATATTTAAGTTTAATGGCTTTCTAGTAGTAATAGTGATAGAATTCTTTCTAAATGAATTATATGATATTAATTGTCTACCCTTCTGTGTATGCAGTGATCACTGGGTATTAGTTGCAATTGACCCAGAAATGGACAGGGTGTATTACTTGGATTCAATAGGAGATGTTCCACTCGATGATCTGAAGGTTATTGTGACCTAGTTAAGTATATATTTCCCCTCCAACTTGTGCATGAGTATTACTCCTGTGTTTCATGGATTTATAATGTGCGGCTGATTGGTCTAATAAGTATTATATTGGAGTCTTATAATCAGGTTAAAAAAAAGTGCCTAGTTTCAGACCATTTTGATTTCAGTTCTGGATTGGGCAGTTCTCCATCCCCCATTCCCCCCTCCCTAGTTGAGATCAGGTCAGAATTCTCAAGTATTTAATGTATTTAACTATTTTTCAGAGGAGTGAAAATGTATCAAGCATCTAAGTCTAGTAATAGGCTTACGGTGAATTGGATCACAGTTCAGGTAATATTCATTTATGCCCATACAGTAGAGCTATGATCTTAATGATATGTGTGTGTATTATATTTTTTTTGGAATGGGAAGAAGGATATTATTTGGTGTTCAGATTACCATACTTTCATTGAAAACTGGGAAGCCATATAATTGAAAACTTCTAAGTCAGTATAATTGTCACAATTTTTCTACTTTAATTAAATTAAACTAGTAAATAGCTTGCAAATCATATGAGAAGATAAAATAAGGATATAAGGAGTAACTTTCTTGTTTAAGTATCTTGAATGGTCAAGTACTGTATTTGTTCTATTGAACTTAAATTGTCATGCAACCTCCTTTCTTTTTGTTTTGGCTTAAGAATAATTGATTTATTCTTGACTTTTAAAGAAAGTGGATGCTGCAATTAAAACTGAAAATAGATTGCTAGCTATTGACTGATATTTTATTGTTCTTAGGCTTTGCCACTGTCCAACTCTACTATGTGCTCAGGTAGGAAGTTGATTAGGCATGTTATAGTAATCTGGACACTTTAATAGCTTGGAACATCGAAAAGCAATTAGTACACTTTCATAACACTTTGGAAGCCTATATTTAATGGGTGAACTTAGGAGAACACATATGTGTGTATTTTTTTTTTTTTGAATTGGAAGAAGGATATTATTTGTTCAGATTACCAGACAAGAGAATGTGTGTCATGGGGTAATTAAATATGTAAAGTTCAACTCAACAACATAAATTCCTAGTAATGATGAGTAGTAGTAAACTCCTCTATTCTGTGCAGTGACCTGAGAGGGTAAAAACTATATTTCTAGTAGTATTGAGACAGTTCTTTTATATTTGCGTGTGTGTATATATGTGTGTGTATGTGTGTGTGTATATATGTGTGTGTATACATATATATATTTGCATGTGTGGAATGTGGATATTACATGATGAAATACATGAAAGATGTGGTAACTGATGTCTCTATCCTCAACAATGTGAGTTAGAGCAGTTCTCTACACATTTCTATGTTATTTATCATTAAATGCTAATTTTGCATATAATGATGTAGTTCTCGGCTGTTAAAGAGTATTCTGAGCAAGATATTTTAGAAGTACGGGAAGAATGGGTTTCTTATGCAGCAACTTTGATGAAAGCGTATGTGCATGATTTCAGTTTATCAAATTATTGTTTAGATTCAAACTCGAGAGAATGGGTCGGTGTGTTACATTCATGTTTAATTAATAAAAATTTTCTCATTGCAGTGATTAGTGACTAATTCAATGGATGCTGACAGACTGTTTTGAAGGAGCCCTTTGAAGAAGGATATGTTTTTGGCATGTTTTTGTACTCTTTGGTGAAGGATATGTTTTTGGCATTCATACTTTTGGCCACATGTTTTTGAACTAGGAATGGCTTTTAATGTGTTGTTGTATGATGAAGTATTATAACTGTAGCTAAACTAAGCGAGTATTTTTAGGAACTTGAATGTTTGTAGCTAAGTAAGAGCAGCCATTTTGAACATTGTTGGGCTGTTTTTTACTTTGACTTATGGATGCAATGAATTCTTGGTAATCATTTGAAATGTGAATTAGACATTCAAATATATTATTATTTGAATGGGTTTTATGAAAGAAATATCTAATGATTGAATGCAAATGTGAGGTACAATTGAATGGATATATGAGTTCTGAATGTATGATATTACAGTGTCACTAAACTGCATGATATAAAAAAGTCATCAAGATTTATGATGCTATGGTGTCATCAATTTTTTGACACAATTGTGTTTTGAAATATTTTGATACAAATGTATCACACACTTGTATGACACATAAGTGTCTTAATTTTTTTTGTTGCAAATGTATCATCGTATTTTGTAACACTAAAATGTCAGAAATTTGTGACACTTCATCTGTGACACTAAATTTAGTGTCACAATTCCCGACCTTCTTTGACACTTTTCTAGTGTCAGAAAAACTTTCTGTGACACTAATTTAGTGTCACTATAGACCATTTTTCTAGTAGTGTATTGCGGGAATAACTAGAGAGAAGTCAGAGTAAATAGGAGGAGAGAGAGTCGATTTTATTAAATGAACTCAGCGTGGTTTACAAGGAGAATAAGGGCTGCTATTTATAGCAGCAATAAATGTGATGAGAGTACGCGTGTCAGTAATCCAACGGCCGAGGGGTCACATCAATCGGGGTGGCACCGACCATCGCACGTTCCCCACATTAAATGCGGTGGGTGGATGTGACGTCGCATTAAATGCGGTGGTTGGCTGTCTCCAAAGGGAATCTTCGATGATTGAGTCCGTTTAGCCGAAGGCTCCTCGCGTAGCCGAGGGCTTTGTGTGGACGAAGGCACTGTGTGGCCGAAGGCTTCATGTATGGCTGAGGGCTTCATGTATGGCCGAGGGCTTCATGTATGGCCGAGGGCTTCATGTATGGCCGAAGGCTTCATGTATGGCTGAGGGCTTCATGTATGGCTGAGGGCTTCATGTATGGCTAAAGGCTTCATGTATGGCCGAAGGCTTCATGTATGGACGAAGGCTTCATGTATGGCCGAAGGCTTGATGTATGGCTGAGGGCTTCATGTATGGCCGAAGGCTACATGTATGGCCGAAGGCTTGATGTATGGCCGAGGGCTTCATGTATGGCCGAAGGCTTGATGTATGGCCGAGGGCTTCATGTATGGCCGAAGGCTTTATGTATGGCCGAAGGCTCCATGTGTGGCCGAAGGCTCCATATGTGGCCGAATGCTCCATGTATGGCCGAAGGCTCCCTGTGTCACTACATTAAAATTGATTTATAGAGGCATATCATAATTGCCCCTAAACATAGCAAAGTAGCCTCTAATGCTTTTTGGAGGCACTTTAGTGGTTGCCAACAAATAGTCCGTCGCAAAATGATGGTTGCCTCTAAAAGCACCCTTTAGAGGCTAAAATTATTTTGCTTCTAAAAAGATATATTTAGAAACAACCATAGTCTTTCGCCTCAAAATAGCATTAGAGGCAACCATATTATGTTAGGTCAAAATATTATTAGAAGCATCCCTATTAGAGCCAAATAACAACCATGCGTTGACACTAAAAATGTGCATTTAGTCATAACCTTACTATATTGCCTCATATTGTCAAAGGACTCTGTCGTGAATTAGATGCAGATACTTCATTCACATAATATATTACTTTTAAGATGCAATAACAAATGAGGGAAAAGCAAATGAATCATCCACATTAATATTTTATTTATATATAACATGAAATGACAATAAAGTTTCAATCATTCAACATTTTGATTACATTGAGTAACTGTCTCGTAAAACTAATCCAGAACTAGTCAAAAACTCCATAATATGAAGCTCAAGCTCATGTGGGAGGTCACTCATCTTCTTTGTCTGTATGTGCATATTTGTGCTCCACATTCACCTGCCATATTATAAATAGTAAATTAGTAGTTTTTCTCAACTAAAAGTAATTAACATAAATAATGTAACTATGTAAGCAATTAATGGAATTTCTCATAAGTTATTAGGTCTAAAATAAAATAGCCAAAATATCCAAGAGGTAGAGCATTTTTCCATTCAGTAAATGTAAATACTACTTCATATGAATTTAAGTTGAACAATCATAGTGTCTGACCATATTGTGTATCCATGTTCAAGATGAATATAAACCCAAAATAAACAAGACCTTTGACTCTAACACATTCCATCTGTGAGAAAACTCCAAAATAAAAGGGCAATATATTATCAAAGGAAAGTAGCACTAAGCCAATAATCATGTTAGAGCAGCAAGTGACTTGATAAAACTGAAAAAGATAAAGACATAACACAGCTGAATTTTGAAATCTAGAATTTGAAACACATTTGAAACAATATCTCAATTTAAATTTCAAGTAATGAGCACCCTTACATGTTGTCATCATAACGTGGACACTTGAACTAAGTACTTATTTGTGCTTGCCAATTTACCATAGTATCCTTTGCAGCTTCACAATTTTTGGAAAATTTGCGAACTTTACTTTCCTTGAGTCTGAATTGAGAAGCAAACAAGGATCGTAAACTCGTAAACTCATACGATCTAATTAATTAACAAATAAAAAATCATTAGCGCCTCAAAAGTAAAGTAATAATACCAGCCAATCCCAGTAAGACCTAGTTAAATGTTAGAAAATTAGGCATTTAAGAAATCAGTCAAATTTAATTGATGAAACATTTAGGGATTAAAGCTAAACCGACAAAGAATCCGATGAAATAGAGATGAAGAAGCTTGAATGAAAAGATGAATACCGATCTGCCAAGCAGCTCGATGCAAGAAAATATCTTCGCGCTGTTCATGGCAAAAGAGATTTAGTAGCAGCTCTCTTCGGCCGGTTCTTGTCAATTGCAGATGCCGCCGCTTGCAGCTTTGGTGAAGCAGAGAGGTAGGGTTTTCAAGTTTTCAACTCGATCCTCTGTTTTAGAATTACTCGTGGAAAGCAATAAGGGTTAGTTTGCAACTCCTTTTAAAAAAGCACTTCTCAACTTTTGGCTTTAAAAAGGCACTTATTTTCTCAAACACTACAACTTTTATTTTTCTCGGCTTCCGCGTAAAAAGGGCTTTTACTTTTTCTATTACACAAAAAACACTTATTTTACCAAACACTACCCACTTTTACTTTTCAAAATCACTTTTTTCTCAAACAATATCAACTTTTATTTAATCACTTCTCCCCATTTCATTAAAAAAAGCACTTTTTTTAAAAGCAGAAGCTGTTGCAAACGGACCCTGAGGGTCATTCAAATATTCGTAAGCGGTAAAATTTACGGAGTACTCCGTATAAACTAAAGGGACAATGATAATTAAAATGAATAGTGGTGTCCACTAAAAAAAGCTAATACTCTCTCTAAGGTAGTTACATAGTAGAACTGATTTAAGTAATGGACTAATGGTAGTACCTTGCCCTTTTAATTTGGCATGCAAGGAATCAAAGTAATGGAAAAAGTACGCGGATCTTTAAATGGGATAATTACTTAGAAGTTTTGAATTAGTTTCAATTGCATACCAAATTACACCAAAATATATTAGATTCGACTTAAATAGACCGGATCAGACTAGACCAGATCAGACCAAACTTAAATAGATTAGACCGGACCTCGAATTTAAAAATACTCAAGACCAGATATCTACCAGACCGTACCAGATCAATTCAGACCAGACTAAACCATAGCAAAGTTAAATAGATCAGCTTAGGTCAGACTAGACCAGATCGAAAAATTTCAAACTGAATAAAAACATCATTACTCTGTATTAATTTTATATATTAATTTTTTTTATATTAAAGGCTATATAAAAGCGCTCTCTAAAAGGATATTTTAATTAGACTAATTTCATCTTAGACAAATCAGATCAGATTGATTCAACAGCAATAAACAAACTTATATTTAAAAGTACTTATTACCATCTAATAGATTTATTCAATAGCAATAAATAAACTTATATTAGATTTTTACCAGATCAAATTGGACTAGTTCAGCCGACACCAAATGAAACCAGATCAGAAAAAGTAGATTAATTCAATAAAGAAGACAAAATTAAAAGGTCTTCGATCCAATTAAAAAAGACATTGCAATGTAAAAGTAGGACTGAGCTTTCTCAATTAACAAGGAGGCATGAAGCTAAAAAACTTAAAAAGATCCTCCAAACCCAATTCAGACATAAATTACTATAACAATTTGTGTATAATCTCTTATAATGTACGGAGTACTTAAAATTTGCTTTTCTACAAAATTTTGTGGTCGCAGTCACTAATGCTAAAAATATACTGATTAATTACTACTCCGTACTTTAGATGCAAACATTTAACCGCACGGGGAGGAAATACTTTAGAGGCAGGCGTACTTTGGCGACAACCTTTTAGAGGCACCAAAAAAACAATGCTCCAAATAATGACTTTTAGAGGCACCCATAAAACCAATGCTCCAAATAATGACTTTTAGAGGCAAATAAGATACGGTTGCCCCAATTTACATGAATTAGAGGCAACCACTGTTTACTTAACGCAAAAAGGGACTTTTAGAAGCAATACAATTTAACTTGCCTCCAAGAGTTGCCTCTATAGACAACTTTTTTTGTAGTGTGTGGCCGAAGGCTTCATGTATGGCCGAAGGCTCCCTATGTGGCCGAAGGTTCCATGTGTGGCCGAAGGCTTCATGTATGGCCGAAGGCTCCCTGTGTAGCCGAAGGCTTGGTTCAGCCGAGGGCTTCCCCTGGTGCCGAGGGCTCCACAGTGCCGAAGGCTCCTGTTTTCTGTCATTTTCTCCCAGTAGCTTCGCATGGTCGAATATGGCGGTCCTGTGAGTTTTGGAGTCTTCGGCCAAGGAGGCCGAAGGCATCCCTGTGTGTACTGTGGGCTTCTTGACGCTTGGGCCGCCGAATCTTGGGCCTCCTGAGCTCCTTGGGCTTGTTGGGCTTGTGATAGATTAGTAGGAGTCTGTGGGTCGGGGGTTCCCGGGCCATATACTCCATCAGTGCATGATTGAGCATGGATTGTTATATGCTTAGGCTATAAGACTTGGTCTAGTCTTGATAAATGATTATGATATAGACCTTATATATCTATGCATGATGTGTGGTAGGTCATAGTGATGAATATAAATGGTGGAGGACTCAGGGACTGAACTGTCCTCAAAACTCGTATGTACTGAATTGTCCTCAAAACTCGTATGTACAAATTGCGGAGGACCCAGGGACTGAACCGTCCTTAAAACTCGGAATATGAATTGGTGGAGTACCCAAGGACTGAACTGTCCTCAAAACTCATAGATTACAGATTAGTAATTCAGGACCGCGCGGTGTCCTTATGATAATTGATTTGGACCAAGAGGGGTCCTTTACATTCATAGATATATGGGCGGGATATGATTTAAGTAAAGGATATTGACTACTACTATTTTTCCAAATAAACAATGACCTACAGGGTCAGGTATTTCCAAGTGTATATATGTTGATAAGTATTTCATAACTTGGGGGAAAGGAATATATTTAAATGTATCACTCTATGTTTAGGTCTTATACTTGAAACCTTAGTTATGCTACACTCAGCTTACTACTCGCTCGGTATCTGCGTACTGACCCCTTCAGGGGCCCACCATTTCAGGTTGAAGCTAAAGCTTGTCATCTGCACCTCGCTCGGTGAAGTGATCCAAAGAAAGACGTGGTTCGAGCTTCCTTTACTGGTTCAAATTAGAAACTATGCTCATGGATATTTTAAAATGAATACATTTGTTTTGAGCTTGCGAGCCCAAGTTTTGGTCACGCCCCACGTGGCCCATGATTTATTATTGAATATTTCTCCTATTCTTTCAATCCAAATTATGATGTTGTTATGTATGTTTACTTACTGAGTATGATATAAGTCATGTTGACTTGCGAGTGACATCACTTGGTCATACGGCGGTTGTACACGCGCTTAGATGCGGTCTGGGCGTGACAAGTGAAAATTGTAAAAAATGTACAAAAACTATGAATAGCTTGAAATGATGATGAAAAATGTTTGTCAAAAGTTCACACTTTTCCTACCAAAATAGTTGGAATTATTATTACTATTGTCATACACTTTTCTACATTTTTAACCATTTCCATTCCATTTCTTAAAATTATTATATTAATACATTTTCATTAAAAATAGCCAAAACATCCAAAACATGTTCCCCAAATCACTAAAATTAAATGATGAAATATATACCATATAATTTATAGAATATAATAATATAAATAAAGAAAATAGAAAGAAATTTAAAATACTAAAATGGAAAAATAGAGAATTTAGATTTTTATAATTAAAATAGCATAAAAAATTAAATAAGATATATTTTCGTGAAAAAATGGAGAATAAAGCTTTAAATCATACTTCCTCTGTTCGGAAAAGATGCAACATTGAGCTGGGCACAGAGATTAAGAAACAAGGGAAAAAGTCTTTTACTTTCCTCTTTTGCCCTTTAGTACATGGATATACAAAGCACACAAATAGCATACACAATAAAGTGCTACAGTTCAATTACAACAAAAATACATGACGGAAAATGGAAATACGGCGTCCAAGTCTTCTCCGCCGCCAGCCCATACTCTCAGATGACCGGAAAATAAACACAAACACGAACAGAAAATGTCACCTGGCCTCCTTTACTGGAAAATAAACTCAGACACGGACACAAAACCCCACTCGACCTCCTTCACCGGAAAATAAACGCGGATGTGTACAGAAAAAGTCACCTCCTTCACCGGGAAAAATTCTTGTTGATCTTGAACCACCAGCCCCCAAAATCAATTTTGTTGCCATCCATGTCTTTCATTTCGGAAAAATTAAATAAGAAATTTGAGAAATAGATAACATACAATCTATCTATCTTTATCTAAAAGGAAAAGAATTTCATGAGCAACACTCCCGCTCAAAACTATCGACATCAAGACTAATAGTGAAAAATATAAAGAAAAACGTAAAATCCCAAGTCCCAAGTTGGGTTGTCAAAGACTCAAAGAAGCGTGTATATGTATACAATCACAATATAATAAATTCATGCATGTAGATTTTTCCAAAAATGATTACAGTTCTGACAAGGCCCATGTTGGCATGAGGGCCTCCAGTCAAGAAAATACGGAGTACATTGGTATAAAAAAATGATAAATACGAAGTACTATACATTGGTATAAAAAAATGATAAATACATAATTGGGGATGGGCAATGACTATAAAGGTTTATGCGTGTAAATGAATTTCTCTGACTTTGATTAGTCATTTCATCTGACGATGCCCATACCAATTCATGCTGAGGGGTTTCCAGCCATAATGTAAATTTGGCTATAAATACATTCTTTGATCGTGGTTTCCTCACACTTGCTCAATGAACACAGCTCTAAGCCTCTAACACTTGCTCAATTCGCCTCCTTCCTGCTGTTGGATAAGGAGGTGTCGAGTTTGATAGAGAGGGGTCTGCTTCCTCTTTGAAAGATAACATATCAAGATAGGGCTCATGTATTAGTATTTATGTTTTATCTATATTTTATTTAGCAGTGAAACTATTTTATTTAGCAGTGAAACTATGTACACATTTTTTACAAACGTTTTAGCAAGTACGCAGTGATCGTGAGATGGTCGCAATGCATATAATGCATGTGTATTTGGATATTAGAGCTAGCACTTTTACGGTGACTAAACCAAATTGAAAAAAATACAAGTATGTCAGTCTTCATAAAAATTGAACTCTTTATTTAGATTCTTGCAAGAGAAATAATAAGATTCTCTTCCGTGAACCCTAAGATTATAATTTTATCCCATAAGACGAATACCAATGTACATTGACAATTGGTTTCAACAAGTTATCCATGTGTGTGGTTTTTGGGTAAGCAGTCTTTATTGTGTATTTGTGCATATATGCAAGTGTAACAAATCAAAATCTTCATGTGTATAAGAATTCTGAATGAATTATGTTTTTTTTTTCTGTATGAATTACGGTCAAAATGTCAGGCGTCTGTTCGTAATGAGAGATATGAGTAACGCTTTTACCATTTCTCGTGGCACTGCAAACAAACAATGAACAAGGTGCATAGCTGTTCAAATTAATGGTATTTCATGATTAATAGATCATATTATTGTGTCAGTGGAAAATTAAATATCAAACGAAAAGTCTAAAACAAAATTAAGTGGGCAAGAATTTTGAAGAATACATTGCACAGCCATATGCTTTGTTTTTTTGAAAGGATATGCTTTGTTTGTTAAGAGATCAGATCAGATATACAACTTTTTATAACCGGAAAAGATTACCGCACAGATTCTCATTTGAAATCGAAATAATATATTTTAAAAATGCAAATTAAGATTAGACTTTAAATTTTGGGTTAAATCTTCATCAATAATAGTTCATGTATAGTCTAATTTATTTATTTTGAATTATTTTGTTTAATACGAAGTATATTTGTAAAAATCGTCAATTGATTTAAATATATAAAATATATATGAAAAATCCAATGAACAATGTCGACAAAATCTAATTGTGAATGATGTGGTTTGCATACAAGTATAATTAGGTTATTTGCCGAAAATATCATATATTCGATGAGATGGTTCGTGCATTAACATAGAGATTGTGTTACTATCATTCTCATGTAAATCGTATCGGCGGTAAATCTGAAGCTCAACGGACATCGGATAAGTTGATTCACCACTCGAGAGACCACATTTGTTCACGTCCAAGTTCCAACAACGGCACAGAAGGGAGACGACATGAGTGGCTTGGTCTAACTTCGGATGAAGAGGTGGGGTTTTAGCAGAATCAAAATCAGTTTTCAGAAGCTGGTCTCATCAGCTTCTAAAAAAACTGATTCTAGGAGTAAATTAGAACATCAGAATCATTTCTACACTTTCACCCAAACACTCCAACTTCTGCTTGTGCTTTCTTAATGAGTAGATACAGTTTTGAGAATCAGATCCAAACACCCCTAAGAAACCCTACGAACCCTACGAATGGAGTGTGTGTCATAGAGTGTAAGTAGAATCGGGTAATAACTTAAATGGATGACATAGATAATACCATGTTATTTTGGACAAAATAGATTTTTAATAAAATGATATGCTAGAAATTAAATAGATATTTAGAGAGTGGTGGGTTCTTCTTTTATATTTATTGGGTTGCAAATTATATTAATTTAAGAAGTGCTTTATTTTGTGAATATAGTTTGTGAAAATGGCTGTTTTGTTTTCAAGAGTCAATATGAAAATTGTTAAAATAAAAAACAGAAAAAAGAAAAAAAAACAGGAATGTAAAATCTATATTTTATTGGCATTTTTCTAATTATTTGTATATTCTACTCTGTAAGAATTCTACATTGTAGTAATATATTATGTACATATTCATGAATTTTATTTATGTAAATAGTTTTTTAGTATTTATCCATTTTGAATTTTTTTACTATTTTTCATTTATATGTATTTATTTTAAATATTTATGTGAATTTATATATAAAAAACAATCAATTTTCTTAACTTATTTTTTAAAAAAAAAATAAACATAGGGACTCAACTGCCATATTGGAAATAGTATAGTAGGAAGGTCTATTTGAACATTTTGCCACAAATATAGTTTAGAAGTAATATAACACAATTTCACATATTTGCACACATCCTATTTCGTCTAAAAGTGCATTTCGTATAAATTTATAGTCACCCTATTTCGTAGTTATTATAAATAATTTACCTCCAATTAATTAATATTAATATATTTAAAGCAATGGAGTCAAAGGCTCGCTATTTTTTATTTGAGATTATGATGGAATAAAGCAAAACATTTCAGTAAGCTATCTTCGCTTCTTTGTCATGAAGCATGAATCAGTCCATGCATTTTTTACGTAATTTTCACCATTGATCATCCGAAAATAGACTCTTTGTGCTTTAGCACAAGAGTTGTGTACATTCGAACCCCTTTGTCCCACCGTAGGCGTGAACCTTTGCGGCTCTCGAATATTGATGTTGATGATATACTTCGTATAAACATTTCAAAATAGAGAAATTATTTGACAAATGATTCAATTAAAATTACAATATCTTTTTAAGATTACATTATTTGTGAAATTTCACCAATCGTGCATCGCACGGGTGTTCTACTAGTGAAGATGGTAGGGAAAGAAATCTGATTTCAAGTAAGAATGAAATGGACGACAATGGCCAGATGAGGAAGATATGAGGAAACTAAATGAACAGTGTGGAATATGTGGGTGGTGGGGGATGTGGACATCTGTAAAGATGTCTTAAGTGGGTGGGACGATGGAATGATGATGGACTGAAGGATGGTTGCCTGATGGGGTTGAATAATTGAGGGCATAGAAGTCAATTAGAGTGTTGCTTATTTCCTAAAAGAGGAATGTTGCACTTAATATGAAACTGCCAAAAAATGAAAGCGTTGCATTTATTTAAGAACGGATGAAGTATAATTTTTAGTCACGGGTTACTTTTTGAAAACAGAAAATATAAAATTGAATAAAAGAAAATAATACAAAATGATAAATTGTTAACATGACTGGGAAAAAATATTGGAAAAAGAAACAAAAATGAAATTTTAGTGAAAATAAATCAAAAGATGACTAAAAAGTATTTTTTTTAACTTCAGTACATATGTAGAATTTTTATAATTACTATTACATGTTAAAAAATTATTTAGGTTAGAAATTTATAAAAATATTTATACATCTTCCAAAAATTGAAAGTTGATTGTTGAATTAATAAAAGATCAACTATAGTTAAGAGTATGGATAATTTGAGTTTGCACCTCATATTATTGTCTAAATTGGACTTTGCACCCCGTTTTAAAAAATCTTTGTTTTTGCACCTCAATCCCATAGGAAAAGACAAAAATGCCCCTCCATTAAAATTCTGTTGACCTTCAACCTATTCCTAATTGAGGGCATTTTTGTCTTTTCATATGGGATTGGGGTGCAAAAACAAAGATTTTTAAAAACAGGGTGCAAAATCCAATTTAGACAATAATATGGGGTGCAAACATAAATTACCCCTAAGATTATTTATAGCTTAGACATAATTCGCATTTGAATTTGACCTACTATACCAAGTTGTAGACTTGTAGCCGATTAGAGACTTTTTGGAAAATAGTCTATAGTTGGGACCAGCAGGTAGGGATGGCCTCGGGCCGGTTCGGGCCCGGTGCGGGCCTAGGCCCGGCCGGGCCTCGGTTCAGAAAAATGAGGCCCGAGCCCGAACCGGTGGTGGGCGGTTCCGGGTCCGGTTCCGGCCCAAACCGCCCGGATTTTTAATTTTTTTTTTCTTCTTCTCTTATTTAACCCCCTCCCCCTCCACCCCAAACCACCCCAAACCACCTCAAATGGCCCAAAATACCTAATCCAACCCAAAACTTTAAAAAATTTCAAAAAAAAAAAAAATTAAATTCCGGCCCAAACCGCCCGGGCCGGTTCACCAAAACATAGGCCCGATCCCGAACCGCCCAAAGGCCGGGCCGGTTCGACCCGAACCGCTGGGCCCACCGGTTCCCGGGCCGGGCCGGGCTCAACAGTAACCGGGCCGGGTCGGTTCCGGGTCGGGCCGCCCGGCCCGAGTCCATCCCAACCAGCAGGTGGGCGAGGCGTTTTCAATACGCCTAGCTCCTAGGACTCTAGGAGTCCTAGACTGTTCACAAGTAAATAAAAACTACAATATATCCATGAAAAGGTAAGAGATGAATGAGTATATGAATACAATGCAAATGTAGAATGTGAAAGTTCCTAGTTTCAAAGCAGCAGACAAACAAGCGTCAGTGAGATTGTATTCAGAGCAAAACATATATACTTCCATCCTACAAAAACATAACATTCAGCGCCATTGATGTGTTTCAAAACATATATCAACTCTCAAGGTTAGAAGAGCTATATAGAGCATATGGCAGGAAATTAAAGAGAGGATGAAGCCAAGCATGAGCCGCAAGATGTAGCAGCAGCAGCATTATTCAAACTTCCAGAGAGAAGGGAGACCATTTTGCGGGTGGATTCTAGTCCATGATTATTTACACTCGGGATAATGTTTGAAGGAGCTACAAACTTAACAAACTTCCTTAGTTCACTAAAGCTACTATGCTCGCTGTATGGCACTTCGTACCTGAAGATGAAACAAATGAGATTCCAAATCCTTGAAAAGAAAACCTACATGAGGGCGGATAATTGAAATAGTACAAGGTAATATCTAACACAAAATTATAAACTAATGCAATACCTATGGGTTTGATTATATCAATGTAATATGCAGGTGATGAAACAAAAAAAAATGGGGAAATAATAAAGTAGTATTCAGCGATCTGGCAAAAAGAGGTCAATAATAACGAGATTATTACCTTATCATGGTACCCTGTTGCCATCTTTTACCAGGATTCTTTTGTTTCCCTTTACCAAAAGACCAGCCAGTTGGAGAGAATGACACTATAAGACTAAAACGGCCCTAGGAAAAGAAAAATAGACATAATGAAAGTTTTACTCAAAATAAAAAAAGAACTTGTTTCCAACAGCATAATTATATTTAAAATTTATTTAACCAACTGTTCAACAAAATACAACATGCTTAACTTGCTAGGGAAGCTTTTTGGGAGAAAATAACATTAAATTCAACAAAGCTTTGATGTCTTTGTTGAAATAAGACCTTTTTCAGACATAAATAAGCTGGGAAATGTCTTGTTTTAGATGTGGGAAGTATAACACGATTCTTTCTGGGGATGGACTCCTGGGGTAAGAGATAAGAAGTAAGACAAAACGAAAAAGTTTAGAAATCAAACGAAAAGAAAAAAAAAAACTGATGCAAAAACGCCTTGCTACTTCCTTGACCATTCTGATGAGGAACAATCACATTCTTATGCCTTTATTAAATATATTCCAAAATTTTGAAATAGAAGTTGCATCAAAGTTCAGACAGATCAAAATATATGCAGAATTCAACACTTATACCCCATACCATATATTGATTAGCAATATGTTTCAGCCGCTTGAAGTTAGCGAGTGACCATAACGGTACAACATGAATATGGCTTTCCTGTTCATTCAGCGTGAAAAATTGCATATCTTCATCAGAGAACCCCAAGCATTGCAAAATACGCAGCTTAGCTGCCGTGACGTAGACTTTCTTGCGGAGAGCACGAGCAATTTCTACATAAAGTCTTTCTTTTCCTGTCACCAAAAAAATATACAAAATCAGCAAATATGCCCTTTTAATGAGAGGAAGCAGCTATAAGATCCTTCCATAGCTTAACAATATTGCTTTTTTAGTTTATTAGATCATGAACGGAGATTCTTTCTTCAGAATGTTTTCGCAATTCAGGTATTTAAATGAATTCGATCTTTTAGGTATTTAAATAGAAGCATTGCTTACTGCTTCACTATTTGGTGGGGGATGTAATCAATAGGGGTATAGAGCCTACCAATAGTATAGCTACCAATCAAGAATAATGTCTTTGGGTTGAAAGCTTCAGCTTGTATGGCTTCAATGACAAATTGTATCACAGCATTCTGATTAGGAAAGTCATACTGCAATGATGGGAAATAAGCATCCATCACATATAAGCGCAGTGTTAAAATAGAGCATATTAACTAAGAAATAATATTGGAGAGGAAAGGATTTTCTGTGTATTTCATTGGAGGGTTAAGTCCCTATAAATATAGATTACAAAGATAGAATATTCCTATAAGATTCTATACAATAATAATATCCTAGAGTATATTCCTAAAATATTCTAAAGTATATTCTAAGGATAGAAGAATATTCTAAAGTATATTCTAAAGTATATTCTAATGTCTTTCACACTCCCCCTCAAGTTGGAGCATAGATATTTATCATGCCCAACTTGTTACATAAATAACCAACACGAATTCCATTTAATGCTTTAGTGAACAAATCTCCAAGTTGCTCTCCAGTCTTCACATATCCTGTAGAGATCAATCCTTGTTGTATCTTTTCTCGAACAAAGTGACAATCGACCTCAATATGTTTTGTTCTCTCATGAAACACTGGGTTGTTGGCAATGTGTATAGCAGCTTGGTTATCACACCAGAGTTTAGCAGGCATTGGTGTCTTCAATCCGATTTCACTCAGCAAATGGTTTATCCAGATTATCTCACATGCCGATTGTGCCATAGCCCGATATTCTGATTCAGCACTCGAACGAGAAACCACATTTTGCTTCTTACTTTTCCAAGAGACGAGATTACCACCAACAAAGACGCAATAGCCAGATGTGGATCTCCTATCATCTTTAGATCCAGCCCAATCAGCATCTGCAAAGCATTCTATTCTCATGTGATCATGATTTTGGTAAACAATACCTCGTCCTGGTGTCCCCTTCAAGTAACATAATATATGCTCTACTGCATTCCAATGATCAACTGTCGGAGATGACATATATTGACTCACTACGCTCACAGAGTAAGCAATGTCTGGACGAGTGACTGCGAGATAGTTAAGCTTTCCAACCAATCTTCTGTACCTTTCTGGGTCTTCGAATGGTATGCCTTCTGAAGTGAGTTGCACATTGGGAACCATGGGAGTTGTGTTTGGCTTTGCTCCCAATTTCCCTGTTTCAGTTAGTAAATCAAGTACATATTTACGCTGAGATAGAAATATGCCTTTCTTACTCCGTGTTACCTCAATACCCAGAAAGTATTTCAATGAGCCTAGGTCTTTTGTTTGGAATTGGCTATGAAGAAAATTCTTAAGGGCCAAAATACCTGCGGTATCACTTCCTGTAATCACAATATCATCGACATACACCACAAGCAATGTGATACCTGCTTTCGTTTTTCTGTAAAAGACAGAGTGATCTGATTGACCTTTTATCATTCCAAACCGTTCAATGGATTGACTGAATTTCCCAAACCATGCACGAGGACTCTGTTTCAGACCATAAAGAGATTTGCGAAGTCGACAAACTTTCCCATACTCCCCCTGAGCAACAAATCCCGGAGGTTGCTCCATATAAACTTCCTCCTGAAGGTCACCATGTAAGAATGCATTTTTAATGTCCAACTGGTGTAAGTGCCAATCATGAGTTGCAGCGAGTGAGATAAGTAACCTGACAGATGTTAATTTAGCAACAGGAGAAAAAGTGTCAGAATAATCAACACCATAGGTTTGAGCATAACCCTTTGCAACCAATCGAGCTTTCAATCGAGCAACAGATCCATCTGGATTAACCTTAACAGCAAAGACCCACTTACATCCAATAGACTTCTTCCCTGAAGGCAAGTATACCAAATCCCATGTACCATTAAGATCCAAAGCATTCATTTCCTCTACCATGGCATGACGCCATTCAGGATGAGACAAAGCTTCTTTAACAGATTTGGGAACAGAAATAGAATCAATGGAAGCAACAAAAGAACATGAGGCAGGAGATAACTGACTATATGACACAAATGAGGAAATAGGATGAGTACAAGACCGTGTACCTTTACGTAGTGCTATCGGGAGGTCAAGATCAGATGTAGAGACAAGATCTGAAGATGCAGGTACTGGTTCAGGACATGAGATCGAAGTCGGACCAGTATCAGGATATGTAATCACAGGTGTCACAGGTGGGGAGTGATCTTGTGCTTTGTGTCGACGGGTGTAAACCAAGTGTACAGGAGGTCTAGGGTCAGGAACAGTGACATTCGACATAGTTACTGAAGGTGTGGTCTCAGGTATAGTAACTGTGTAAATGAGTATTTCATCGTTGTCCTCATGAATATCTGTCTTGGATGATGAAAATGGTGTATTTTCATGAAATGAGACATCAATAGAAATAAGATATCGACCTGTACTTGGACAAAAACATCTATACCCCTTTTGAACTCGAGAATAACCCAAGAAAATACATTTCAATGACTTGGGGTCCAATTTTGTCCGATGAGGGTTAACATCTCTAACAAAACAAGTGCAACCAAATATTTTAGGTGGAATAGGAAAAAGTTCTTTATTTGGAAAAAGACATTGATAAGGAGTTTTACCATCCAAAACAGAAGATGGCATACGATTGATCAAAAAACATGAAGTAGACACAGCGTCAGCCCAAAACTGTTTAGGCACATTCATTTGGAATAGAAGAGCCCTTGCAGTTTCTAACAGATGTCGATTCTTTCTTTCAGCAACTCCATTTTGAGGAGGTGTGTCTACGCATGAAGTTTGATGAATAATGCCATGTTGAAGCATAAAAGATTTAAATGGAGCAGATAAATATTCTTGAGCATTGTCTCCCCTTAACACACGAACAGGAACATTAAATTGAGTTTTAATTTCAGCACAAAATGCAGAGAAATGAGTAAATAACTCGGATCGGCGCTTCATAAAATACACCCATGTCATACGAGAATAATCGTCAACAAAAGTGACAAAATATTTGAAACCAGGTTTGGACACAACTGGACATGCCCCCCAAACATCAGTATGGACAAGATCAAACGGAGCATTTGCTCGTTTATTAAGTCGGGGACTTAAACTAGTGCGATGATGTTTAGCAAACTCACACGACTCACATTGTATAGAAGACACTTTATTAAACTGAGGATATAATTGCTTCATTAGTGAGAGAGATGGATGTCCTAATCGGTAATGAGCTTCTAATAGATTTCCAACCCCAAGGCAAGAGATACCTTTTGTAATTGATGTATCCAAAATATAAAGACCACCCGACTCATGTCCTTGACCAATAGTATGCTTCGTTAACAGATCCTGAAACACACAATATCCCGGAAAAAATGTTACAGAACAATTAAGAGTACGTGTGATTTTACTGATGGAAAGCAGATTAAATGCAAAATTAGGAAGACTCAAAACAGACGATAATGGTAATGTAGAAGTTGGTACAACAGTACCAGATCCAAGAACGGGTGAGGTAGACCCGTCTGCTAAAGTGACACTGGAAGCAGGTAAATGTGAGTGAAATGATGAGAATAGACTAGGATTACCAGTCATATGATCTGTGGCACCTGAGTCAATGACCCATTTTGAGGATGATGAAACAAGACATGTGTTTGAAATACCTGAATTTGCGACTACCGAGATAGGGGTAGATGAATGTTTTAGAGATTCTTGGTAGCAAATAAATTTAGCATACTCGTCTGAAGAAATAGCAATTGATCCATCAAATGAACTCGTAGCGGAAGCAACATGAGCAAGCTGATTTCCTTGATTTTTGAACAGCAACTTTCTACATTCTTTGAGCAAGTGTCCAGGCTTCTTGCAGTAATTGCATCTTATTTCTCTGCCAAACTGAGTGGTACAAAACATTCTTTTTTTTTTTTTTGATTTTTTTTTTTTTTGATTTTTTTTTTTTTTTGATTTTTTTTTTTTTTTTTTTTTTTTTGCAGTAGTAAGTTCAAAATTGAGATACTGCCATAAGCTACAGCAGCCTTTCCCCGTTTGTGGGCTCAAAATTTGGAGAAGAAAATTTGGAGGAAAAAAAAACTTACTCAACTTTTAAAATTGATGCGCTGACATATCGGTAGCAGTTCAAGGGGTGTCCACACATATCCGATGCTAGACACCAGCGAGGCAGCGACCAACCCACCTGGGGCGTCCACAGTATCCGATGCCAGACACTAGCGACCAACCACGAAGCTTCCTCCGGCCCACAGATCCCGTCCCTTGCTGGACAAAGAACGAGAGAAGTAAAGTATACCTGGCAGAGGACTTTCAGGCGAGTTTCAGACGAAGAGTTCCGATCAGATTCCGGCCAGAAACACGGCGTCACGCGCCGGTGCGTGAGTTGGCTGCGGAATCTTCCGGCGGCGCGTGTCACTCACGCGCAATGATTTTGGAGTGCGGACTTTGGGTGTTCGGTCGACAGTGGCAGGAGAACCAGAGGATGAGGGAGGTTGAACAGGGTTGTCGGATACCCAGTTGCTTCTGAGATCGAAGGTTCTGGCAAAAGCTTCTGGGAAGAGGTTCTGGGAATAATCGGAGGTTCTGAGATTGAACTAAGCTTCTGAATAGAGATTCTGTGTAAAGAGGTTCTGACTGGGTTGAGTTTCTTGTAGACAGAATGGTGCACAGAGGTTCTGAACTGAACTCAAGCTCTTTGAGAAAGAACCGAGTGTGAAAAACTAAATTGAAATCTGAAAAACTAAATTGAAATGAAAGGCTCTGATACCATGTTAAAATAGAGCATATTAACTAAGAAATAATATTGGAGAGGAAAGGATTTTCTGTGTATTTCATTGGAGGGTTAAGTCCCTATAAATATAGATTACAAAGATAGAATATTCCTATAAGATTCTATACAATAATAATATCCTAGAGTATATTCCTAAAATATTCTAAAGTATATTCTAAGGATAGAAGAATATTCTAAAGTATATTCTAAAGTATATTCTAATGTCTTTCACACGCAGTCTAACAAAGAGAAGTGCAAAAAAATATAGGGTACAAGTACTACAACAACAACAACATCCGAACCTTAGTCCCAAAAGATTTCGGGGTCAGCTAACATGAATCGATACATGATATCAGGGCCAAAAGAAAACGAAAGATAGAAAGATAAGGTATTATAAAAAAGATAACAAAAAAAGATAAGATAAAATAGAGATAAGATATACATAAGTATGATAAGATAAAAAGGATAAATAGAATACATACATATATATATAGAGAGAGAGAGAGAGTGGCGTTCCTGTCAGGCTGGCCTAACAGGACCCGCCGTCCGGCCAAGCCTATTTTGAGGGGCTTCCAGGTAGAGTTTTTAAATGAATACTTTTTGAATTAATTCCACCTTTGGTCCTATGAATTTTATGTCAATTCCACATTTAGTCCAAGTCTTTCACTTTGTTTACTTTTGATACTTGACTAATGTTTCTTAACCATTTGTGGTCCTTTTCCGACGATTTTAACCACTGGAAATATTGACAGAAAGATCATTGTCGAATTGGTGCGATACTCGTAGGATCAAAAGTGGAATTTATTCAATTCTTTTAAGCATGTTCTCCATGAAGTGTTAATTTTTTAAGCTGAATTTTTTTGGAGATACACACCATGGAGAACATGATCAAAAAAATTCATCAAAACATGTCACCGACAACGGCCAAAATGGCCTTGGCTGGACGGCGTATCCTCTCAAGCCAACCTGACAGGACCATTCCTATATATATAGGGGAGAGTTCAAATAAAAAGTAGAGCTCCCGTGCAAAGTGCAAACGTATGCACTTTTCACTCAATGTGATGCACTATTTCATGTTTATGTAGCACTTTTTCGCGGTGGCAAAAAACTTTTATTTATTTACGAAATTGCCACCGCATTTTTGTTCAAATATAGTGCATTGTTGGCTCATTTTGAGCCATTAGATCAGGAAATGAATGCACAAGATTTATTCTCACTTTGTATTGGAAGGACTCTTTGTATTTGAGATATATATTTATATATATGTGGGTGTGTGTGTACAGCCGCCTGGACAGGATCCTCCATCCGGACGCCTCCGTTTAGGTGGTTCCCGTAGAATTTTTTTACATTGTTCATCATGAAGTCTAAATTATGTCTACCAAATTTCAGCTTAAAATTCAATAGGGAAGTAAATTAATTAAATTATTGAAAAACATTGCGCTTTTATGTATAAGTTTGGCGCAATATGTTTGAATAATTTATTTAACTGACTTCCTGATTGAATTTTAAGGTGAAACGTTTTGTGTATAATCTACACTTCATGATGAACGTGCTCACAAATTTTCATCAAAAAATTCCACCAGAGATCACCTCAAACGACGGAGGCTGGAAGAAGGGTCCTGTACATCCGGCTGGATAGGATCATTTCCCTATATATATATATATATATATATATATATAGGGGAGGGTTCTAATGAGAACCCCCTTTAAAATGAGAACTCATTTATAAATGAGAACTTCTAATCAACACCCTTGATTAATGAAATCAAGGGTTATACGAAGTAATTAATAAGGTGGCATTAATGTACCAACTCTACAATAATTACAAAAAAGACCCCATTTGAATTTTCAAAAATTACACAAAGTGCCCCATGTGCATCCTACCAATGATTGAATTAAATAAAAGGTTGTGATTAAAAGTTCTCATGATAACTACTTAACTAGTTCTCATTTTAAGATGGGTTCTCACTAGAACTCTCCCATATGTGTGTGTGTGGTGTGTGTGTATTAAATGGATCAAAGGGGAAAACATAAGAAAGATAAAGACGATAGGGAAGTATAGAGCTATTATTAAGCTTTCATGTTTATTTTTTGCTCCCGAGTACATAAAGAAATATTGTGGAAATTAATTATGTTTTGAGCACTATGTAATGTAGTCATATCGGGTGATTGCATTCTTTAGGTGTACCTGAGGGTCACAGTAAGTAGTGTCCAGGATGAGAGTGTGGATTTTACAAGATTGAAAAACAGGAATATTCATCATTTCATCACAAACACGAAAATCTCCCGTATGCAAGACAGCCTGTTTCATGATGATACATCAAGTTAACACATGATATATAAAATTCAAAGCCCGACAATAGTGGCTTATTTTGCTTATTCGTCTGATCAACTAAATAAGTAGCTTTTGATTTACTTATGTAACTAAAATTGATTTTTCCAAACATACTTTTTATTCAGAAATTTCGGGAGATTCAGCAATATCAGCAGAATAAACCTTACCAAACGGGGTCTCAAAATTATACCGATGAAGACTAAGAGTGTACCAATATTGGAAGTATGAACCACACCTTACCATTGGAAGGCTCAAAGAGGATTATGATGGCACCTGGGCAGTGGTTTGCATCAAAGCAGGTGACACCAGTACCTGCAATGTTGATCCTCTTGTTAAGAGGCAAAACTTCTATGGTATCCATAGGAATTCCAATTTTCATATTCACAAGCTTTGCGGTCACTAAGGAGCAATATATCTTCCCATGACAAAAGGACTTTGTTAAACCTTGATAATCTGCAAAGGCATGCAACAACCATGTCATTTACGTGAGTTACTCAGCCAAAGAGAATGCACATGGGAGTTGAAAACTGGGTGACCAAAAACAGACCAATTGGTCTTTCTAAACTTTAAAAATTCAATGTCAACACCACAATCCCACCTTATCTTAAGCTTGTGACAGACTCCATATCCCAGACTTTATAGGTCAGGAAGAAGTAATAATTAGATTTGTTTTCGTCAAAATAAATTATACAATTAGAAACTATCTACCATGGACTTATAATGACCTCTAGACCAACTGCGGAATTTGAAAGGTAAAGTACTGCCCTGACTAATGTGTCCAGATTTCCCTTTCAAGTTTTCAGTTAGCATCATTGGTCATTCAAATCCATTAAGCCATAGTCCTATCTTGTTGTACTTCCAATGCAGAAAAGAAATCAAATGATAAACAACAACAACAACAACGCCATCCAAGCCTTCGTCCCAAAAGAAAATAAAATCATTTAGTCACATTAGACACAAAAACCTACTTCAGACTGGGGGGAGCTACCATATCATATACAAACATAATGCAATTTAAAGACAGGTCTTACGATCAGCATGAAAGTGAGTAAGGAACCAGTGGGAACAATCTCTTCTGAGGTACTTGAAAGCATCCTGCAACAACAGTGAACCAAGGCACTTTATTTAAAATAAAAAAATAAAAAAATTGTATCACTAATAAATAAAGATATAAAAAAAAATACTTTAACATTTTGAAAGAGGAATATAAAGCAAACTTAAATCTATCAAGCATAAGTAGCAGACAAGCTATCAAATATTCCATTATGCCTGCATGACAAGCTAGAAATGACTTAGAAAACACAATGTTATCACAATCCTTTCATGCTTTATTAATTTATTATAGCCCTAACCTTAGACCAATAGTTAGAAAGCTTGATGAGAAAATTGATTTTACATTTTGTATTTTGGCATATAATGTTACATTTATGTCTTTGGAAAATATTAATATAGCTTATTTATGACCATAGCCCATAAATATGTTGGAGTAAATGATAGATTTTTCACAACCCAAAAGAAAAAGGAAATAATCACTTTTAAATACAATCAGAATGATGATGATAATAGAAGTCTTAAAACAAAAAGCATTGCGTTTTATGGTTCAACACTAACTGTTATCAGAATTGTAACAAGATGCATTAATTCCATCATCGAATAGACAAATGTTCCTAAAATAAAGAATGCTTGCATTAATCCAATCAGCAGATAGTGAAATTCCTGAAATAAAGAATGCTCGAATAAATCGTTATATATCAGAATAGAATGAAATATCATGCCTTCTCAACTGTGACTACTCTCTCATTAGGCCTCATGCAAAATTGAATAAAGAACATTTTGTTTTGATATTTTAACTCAAGCCAATTGAAGACATATGAGATAAGAAAATTAAGGCATCTTCATAAAAGCTAGCCATATAAAAGAAAAGAAACAAGTAAAATTCAATAGCATTACAAGTAAGTATATAGATAAAGTGTTATATAGTTTACCACACGAAACGATGTTCCTGGTATAGAGCACCATATAGGAGTATCTTTATACTTCGCTTTCCTGGAAGGATCTATCTTCTTAACAGTTCTGTGAGAAGAATCTATGAGATCGCTCCCTAATTTTTTCCAAGTAGAAGCAGCATGGTCACTTTGCATCCTGACAACCGAAGACGGGAAATAATCTGTAATCAATTTGCTCGGCTTGACATTATTTGTATCATCAACAACTACAGCCTTTTTGGCATCTATATGTACTCCTTCTTTGATGTTTTCCTTCCTTAGTTCAGAAAGAGCATGAACAATCTTTTTTCTGGGACCAAGTGCACTAACACCAATCTTAAATAGATCCTACATGAAAAGGAAAGGAAAGAGACCATCAGACAGTCACATTAATAGTACGATAAAATCAATATATGGATTTGGGGTTGTTTACCGATTCTAAATGAACACAACAGGTGCACACTCAAAAATAAGTTAGTATAATAAATGGCCTTATATGACATCAATTATCCAATTATCAAGCACATATAAAAGACATTGTAATTCAAAACGATGTCCCAAAGTGAAAATTACAGATGAGTATAATTTATATTCCTATTTTCATGGTTAAATAAGCCAACCACATCTAAATATCTAATTTCTATTTTCATTGTCAAGACTGGTCACTAGGACATTACTTCACTTAGGTTCACGTCACGGGGCAGATCTAATATGAAAACCAATTAAAGAAAGGCATACTCTCTATAAGCTTCCTTAAGTGCACATAAATAACTTTTAAGACAATAAAAACAATGATGGATGAGACAAATTGCATAAGAGATACTAAAGTGTCAAAAGTGATAATAATAAATGATTGTGTTGATTAAGTAAAGGGCGACAGAGGTGAAGCAAACCTCTTCTGTCAGCAATTTTAGGGTGTCCCAATCAATCTCATGTTGAATAAACAATTCTCCATACTTTACTAACCCTAGCTTACGTAGCCATTCAACAACAGGAGACATAGCAACAATCTTTTGAGGAGTTTGAGTAGGGGAAGCATCAAGAACTTGCCCAAGATATTGATAAGATGTGTCACGATGGGAACCAACTGCCTGTGAAAATGATAGCAGAAGTTTTAAGCACCCATTTTTTTACCCTTCAAAGATAAATACTTATAGAGAACCAGTATCTTAAAGATGCAGAGGTTCTAGCAAAATGCTATAACCCCAATGATTTTTATATAGTACTGAATTTAAAAGATCAGATTTGTCTACATGGTGTATGACAGCCTACCATATTCTCTTTCTAAAATGGATTGGTACATTACACAAAATACTAAATTGTTTAATGGAGCTGTATACATTTTAATATCACTGGGTTACTAGGTGCACAACATCCCTTTCAAGAAATGAAACACAAAGTGGAGTGGCACCTTAAGCGCTCTATTGAAGGATGACAATACAATATACTTGTGTGTTAGTTCTCTGATTATCTTTAAGTTTTCTAGTAGATTTTTATTAGAACATTTGTGGAAGAGTGATCTTGTATCATCTTTTCTCCTTTTTTTTTCTTTCTTTTTCTTTTATATTTTTATCCTTATATATAAATATTACTTTATCCTTTTTATTTGATCTTTTATATGTATATTCATCTCTTTTATATTATCTTTTTTTATAATAGCTTATCTTTTTTATCTTTATTTTCGTTCTTTTCCTTTTGGTGATATCATATATCGATTCATGTTAGCCGACCCCAATATCGTTTGGGACTAAGGCTTGGATGTTGTTGTTGTTGTTGTATTTGTCACTCGCATCAGCTTCCCCAGAACTTAAGGCACAATTGGCATGATCAGTCCCTTGTAATTTATGAAAAGACCCACACTTACTGCTTTTGAAATGATTCTAAAATATGACATTTAAAGGATTAAATTTTTACAAGAAACTGAAATAGGAAAAGAAGGCAGCAATTTATAGAAGCGATAATATTTTCATGTCATAATAATTGAGACCAGTAAATATCAACAATCGTCTATATGTTTCTTTGCCAATGATAGAATCACTAAATGGAACTCCTACCATGTATGAAAGTAGTTAATAACTTAATATTAAAAATTACCACTATTGCAAGCTCAACATTTTTAACAAGAGGCATTCAAAAAACAAAAGTAAATAACAACAATAACAACATTAACCGATAAAATCATTGGAGCTTATACCTGAGATGGTGCGTCCTCTTTGTCAATGCACTCATTGGTGTGTACTTGCCTTTGCTCCTCCCTTAAATCTGTGATGTCCCTACCACAAAGTGGACAATAAATCAGACCAGAGTAGTCATTACGTTCAGAAGTACAGTTCTGTTCCTCTTTCTCTTCATCTTCCACGGAATTGTCATCTCCTTCACTTCCCTCACGGCATAGTTTAAGGAGCACATCGAGCTCTGAGCTCTCCCCCAATTCTTCATCCTCTCCCCCATCTTTCAGTCCTACAGCAGATTTCAACAACCTTGACTCTATGGACTTGGTAAAGTACCCTTTTTTAAACTCCGGCGCCTGCCTCTTAACCAAACATGAAAATAAATTGTTTTTCTTGTCAGAACTTTCATCAATATCCACTCCAACTTTTTTGTTTGGCACCACTTCATTAGAACATTTACTCGTACATTCTTCCTTAGTGTTCAAAGATTCACCATAAGAACAATCGATAGTTAACCCGATAGAGTCCAACCCACAGTTCAAATCCACACTTTCCTGAACCAGCTCATCAGAGTTTTGTCCCTCTACCCGCTTGACAAAAATTTCTCCGTCAGAGCTGTCATATCTTTGCTTCTTCGCCTTCTTCCGGTCTCTATGAGCAGAACTGGAAGGAATTTGAGGCTTCCTCGAAACGGGTTTTGACGCCATGTTGTTTGAGAGAAACTGGGAAGGACAGGGATCTTGAAAGTCATCGTCATCTATGAAAGAAGAAGCCGATGTTAACGAAAACTGCGATGAAGACGATTCAGCCTTGGAAATGAAGGCCATCAGAGTCGTCTGAGACTACCGAAAGGCGAAGGAGACAGTAAGGGAGATTTCAAATTTGAGGTTAAGATGAGAAATGGAGGGAATTTGGGGGGAATTAGCGGGTTTGATATCCGCATTCGTAGTGTTTTGGGATAATAATAATAATGATGATGAAGATGACTACTGGTCTACTCATCTACTGGACTTGTTAGTCAAGCCCAAATTCCTCGTAACTCACATTGGAGTATATAGTCCGGTCGGATTCTTATAACACAAGCAGAAGCAGTCCAATGGGGCCACGGCCCACATAAAAATATTTTTTCATAATATGTATGTGAAAAATAAAATTGCCCCCCACCCCCCAAATATAATTAATTGTAAAATTTGTTTAATCAAAATTTAATTAAATATTTACTAAGGGTAAAAATGAAAGAAAATAAGAAACAGAAATTGAAAGTTAAAAAGTGACACATAGTATATATCAATCTATTTACTATAAATGATTTAAGTAAAAATCTGAAAATATGAACCCAGGTACAATTCCTATAATAATAAAAAATTCAAAGTGACATGCACTATTTTTTTATGTGCGAAGGAATTTTGATTAAAGAGTTAAGGAGTGTACAAAGAACAAAAGAAAGGAAAAAAGGGGCAAAGGATCGGAAAAAGAAGAAAAAAGAAAACAAAACCCAACAATGATGAAGAGAAAAGTGTTGCCCTAAGAACCAAATAATAAAATTCTCTATAAGATAGTGGTTCCATCAAATATTCATAGGCCTGTTCATGTGTGATTGGGATCTCGTTCTCATGTGGTGCGATCGCTAATGCTTTTCCCTATAAATTTGCATTTGGGTGTTGAGGTTCTATGCAGGCAAATAGTTTTCCTTGTGACTAGGTCACCCTTATGACACACGTCTTGGTTTGTGTCTGAGTCACATAGATCCTCAATTGCTGAAATAGGAGTCCTTTTCTCGCTCTCTGAAGCATGATCAAGAAATTCATCTCTGAAATACAATAATATCTTCTCAGAAAACATATCTTCACAATCAAACCCTATTAAGCACTGATTACACTCTCAATAGCCTTCTCATTTTCTCCAGCAGGTCTCAAATCAAGAGAGACTCTATTACCCATCGAGGCAAGCATTCTCTGAAATTCTTTGATTAAAAATTGAGAAAGCGAATTCACCCCATTAGCCATACAAATCTAAATGGAATCCATAAGGAGTCAATTTTCGAAATAAGCTCAGAGCTACACAGGCCCTCTCTAGAATGCAACACCAGAGATTTCTCAACACAGGCAGAATGTTCAATATCAACTTGTAACAATGATCCCGAAATAGATGATACATTCTGATAGGAGAAATTTGTATCCAACCAAGGAGTAAAAATATCACTCTCAGGCTTGGAGTCAATTATGCCCGGAGAGTTTGGGGATGACATTCGCATTGCAAATTCATTCATCAAATTAATGGATCTTTTAATTTTTGTGAGAAAACGTTTAATACCTAGTCTGTTCCATCTTTTAGGAATAAAAAGTAAATCATGCCCCCTTTCAATGATACGAAAAAATCCTTCATAGAAATCTGAATAAAAAAGTAATGTAAGACCATTCAGTTGTAGTTTAGGATAAGAGCCAGTATCAGAACAAAGTTTTGTAATGGATTCTTTTAGACAAGGGACTCTTTTTAAGTCAAGTTCAATCAAAGACAAAATTCCAAGTTTCAATTCACATATACGAATAGCATTCCAATCGGTAATTTTGAGCTCGAAGGTTTTACTTTCGAATACCGTTTCAAAGCCATCTAGAATGGCTATGACCTGTCCAAGTTGACTCGGGGATGTCTTCGTGCATAGCCTCTTGTTCGGGTTGGTCGGCTTGGGCGTTGTCTTATTGGTCTTGGAGGTGTGGTGGGATGGCATTAGGAAGCAAATAGTGTGGCACTTCAAAGGTTGCCATTTTGAACCTAAGCTTTGGTATGTCCAGTGAGGGGATGGGGAAATAGCGGATGGGTTTCAGACGGATGTGCCATTTGTAGTGGTCTTTCCCCTCGGAGTCATGGTGGGAGAAGGAGATTCATCCCGTGTGTGCAAGCCAACCAAGGTGAATCAAACAATATTCGACTATAGATGCAGGGGCGGATCTAGGATTGACATTCAGGTGGGGCCATTTTTAAAAAAAAATATATGTCAAAGACGTAAACAAATATTATGAAAATAAGAAATTTTGTCAAACTGAAATACATAAAAACACTCAAGCCCAAAACATTGAACTAATTAATTCTTTAGGCTAATACTCAAAATCACAAAGCATGCCCATTTTATTAGAATGAAGCCCATTCAATGAGTTTATGTTTGTAGTAATTGATCCTTGGAGATCCACTTTAAATAGATATGTACTCCGTATGAAGGAAAAGTAGTTCTCTTTGTCTGGTGTGGGATAAAGAGGTTTGAGGAGAAAAAAAACTGAAATTTTAAAACACAATTGCTCTCCATTGCAAAATTTGAAGGCATCTACCTCCCAATGAGATTCAAACTCGGGTTGCTCTAAATATCACCATGCTAACATGTTCGATGTACTTCCATCCCACCATCCCTCATTTTGCAAACAATTAGACATTTTTTATTATTATACTATTTTTGAACAATAGTATACATTAGTGTATATATATACTATATATTTTTTTTGAGGTGGGGCATAGGCCCTCCCTCACCTTAAGGTAGATCCGCCCCTGTATAGATGCATCATCCGTATAGCTGAATTTAGTGGCAAATGCATGATGATGATGCCTACTACAATTTCCCCTTTAGCCGCACATGATTTCTCCAAGTGTGCCCACATCAAATTGCACAAGTTGAAGATTATGGGGTTTTGAAACAAGACCACGGTGAGCATACCAACATCCCCCATCCTCGTGTGATGCTTATTGGGGCGGCCAAGCAAACAATTTGCTAAAAACTTCAAAAATATTTGGAGTACGGGATGTTGAACATGACTAATTGATAGTTTAGACGCGCTAAATATCACTTCTGCGGTCATTTTTTCCCAAAGGATATGGCCATCAATGGTGTTCTCGGGAATTTCTTTCTCATGGGGGATGGGTAGGCCAAAATGTTGTGCAAACTCACGTTTCGTGATTGAGTATGTGGTGTTAAACATTTGAAACATGAGTTTGTCAGGATTAAAATCATCATCATTCTTCTCAAACTTTGCCGAACTCATGAATTCGTAAATGATTCGTTCATTGGAGTTGTATTGCAACCCAAAAATTAAATCCATGTTCAATTCATGGAACAACTTTTGCATTTTTTTCAACAACCCTAAACCACGAAGAGCATGCATCATGACATAAAAACGAGAAGGATGCACATGCCTTTGAATTTGAGCAAGAAATCGCTCCCTCTGCCCACCCGGGGTGAACAGGACATCTTCAAAGCCTTCAATAGGTCCTCTTGCGGTTGAGCTCTCTTCCCTATCCCTTTTAGGAGCCATGGATTTCCTTTTGGAGCTTGAAATTTCAAAATTGGGGATAATGGGGTGGGGTTTCGGACTTTGTGAAATGAGGGGGGAGAATGGGATTGGTGGGTTTGAGGTTGTGGAGGAGAGTGAGGGGGAAGATTTGGATGGTTGTATGGGAGGATTTGGTTGAGTAATGAGGGAGTTATTTAAGAAAGAAGCTTCAAAAATGAAGCTTGGGGGAGAGAGGATTCGAAAATTTGGGGTTGGAGAAGATGAAGTTGTGGATTTGGGCGTGGATTCTTGTTTAAACGTTGGTGTACCCGATCGGGTGCCCCGTCATACCTGATCGAGTATGTCGTTTTTCTTCCTTGTTCATCCACGTAACCGATTGAGTTTACATGTGTAATTGGTCGGGCGATTTGGACCTTAGGAAATTAATTGCCATTTTCCCACATACCCGACCGGGTGATTGCACATACCTGATCGGGTATTCCACTTTTTTCAAAAACATGTCTGGGTATATTATACTCGTTCGAGTATAGGGTGTACTCATTCGGCCAATTTAGACCGTAGTCTCCGGATCTTTCTTCAAACGCATACATGACCGGGTGGAACCTAGTACCCGATCGAGTATCTCCAATTTATGCCTTTTCAATTCCGGATCCGGTCGAGTACAAGAGGTACTCGATCCTGCTGTTTCTTTTGTACTCATACCCGACCGGGTAGTGAGAGGGTACCCGATCGGGTACCATGCCCTGGAGCCAGAATCTTTTATTTTTTTGCTTGTACCCGATCGGGTAGGCAAGTATACCCTACCGGGTATTCTCCCAACCTCTCAAAACCTGCATTTTTTTCTTTTCGAAGATTTTTCGTTAATCTCCTCTCTCCCATTCTCTCATGAAAGTAAGAATGAAAACTGCATACCTTGCTTGGGTTGCCTCCCAAGAAGCGCCTTAGTTTTTTTTTTGGGGGATGAAATGTCAGTATATATAAGCACCCAAAAATAGCATTTTACAATGCATCAAAAACAGACTCAATGACTATCTAAGCTAGAAGAGACTAACCTAGATATAATAATTCAGTTAGAAATGGGACAACCCTCACATCACAAAAATCAAAATTAACTAACTAAAAAGATGTATCAAAAGCCAGGTAAAAGCGTCAACTCCCAGCAAAAGCAGCGAATTAGCAACAACTGCATCAACTTACATCCCAAAGCAGTAAAGCAACACCTGCAGCGATGATGTGTGTTTTCTCGCACTAAAAATGGTTGTAGAAAAGTGGTTGAAAGTACGAGTATCGTCTCCACAGGGACAGACAAAAGGGAATTAAAGATTAACTAAATTTAGCGATTAAACATAAATAAATAAAATAAAATGCAATTGTGCGAGATTGGTTGATTGATTAAAATTAAACTAATGCAGATGAGCGATAAAAATAAAAGATTGGTTTCTTCTCAATTAACGACGAAGGGAACAGGGATTGATTCCGGGGTAACCAGATTTCTGGCAGATCAGGCCTAATTGCATGAATTTAATTTAATTGAGCCTAGCTAATCATTACTAAGTTCTTACCGCTCTCGCGGCGTAGAGTACAATAATTTAGGGGACCAGGCTGATCTCTCATGCAACAGGATCCTAAATTATTGTCAAGACGAGCGAGCTTACGGCCCCTTAATCGCTACTAATCTCTTAGCGAACGATTAAGTGTGTGTGAATGTGTCCTAGAACAAATTAGATCTCTCTTAATTCATTCTACATGCAATTGTAATTCTAGCTGCAGTCTAGGTTACAAGAGATATCAATTGAATTATTCAAACACAAATTAAACGGACATTCATGCAATTAAACCGAAAGGAATCTAGCCATCAATCATGATTAACCCCTTCATCAACTCCAAATCCCTAATTAAACTACTCACAATTCATAATTGAAGAATCAACAGAATTGAGATGAATAGAATAAATTGTCATTAATTAAAAAGATGAACTTACAAATAATCACAGGGTCTTGGAAGAAAACGATGTTAAATTCGTCCCTAGGCCTCTCCGTAATGTTCGTAACCCGTAAAAAGGGGTATTTATAGAAAACAGTAGAGTTTGAGCTGAAATAGGACAAATCGGGGCCAGACACGATGCCAGGCACGATCGTGCCTGGGATCGTGCCTGCGGAACGAACGCGCGTGTTGATTGCAGACACGATCGTGCCTGCCCCGGCCCGGACACGATCGTGTCTGGCTGGCAGTGTCTCGGCGTGCAATCCTTCTCCAGGCACGTTCGTGCCTGGTCTTTTCTTCATCATTTTTCTTCATTTCTTGTTCCAAATGCTCCTGAATGCCTACGAGGTCGATCCAAATGCTCTTTCTCCAAATCTCTCGGTGACCTCCAAATCTCTCAAATCTTTCTTGGACGCCTTCAAATCCTTCCCGGATGCCTCTCAAGCGCCGATTGTCGGACTCTAACTTCTTCAATTCAACTCCAATTGCAACAAAACTCGATCCAACGCCTGCTAAACACAACTTGAGCCAATATTGAGACTTGCAACGCCTTAAAGCTAGGAAAACCATCAAAATCCGACCCGAACACGCATCAAATGCGTGTTCAAATACGGACTTATCAAGCGAACTACTCCCATCCCAAATATTCCAAGCAAATGCTAGTCTTCCACATCCACACTAAAACCATCACAATATAGGAAAACCGAAACAGAAGCTATAAAAGCTTATTTCATTGCAGTCAATCCTTTTTTCTTTTTCTTCCCATTTGTCTTACCCCTAAAAAGTTCTGGAAGAACTATTTTCTTTTTAGCAAATGTTTCCTCCCAACTTAAACCTGGAATTCTCTTTATCATTATATTTCTGTTCACATTAGCATCTTTCCTAATCGTAAAAACCTTACCATCCATATAAACTTCATCAAAATCCGGACCCAGGTCCTCCTCCCCTGAGTTGTCGGTCACATACGAATAATATCCCGAGCTTTCACTTTCAGTCCTTTCCGGCACTCTAGCGCCAGATTGCTTAGTCTCCGGCCTAACCATCTTCTTCTTTTTAGCGGTTTTGTTGCCATCCAGCACCGCAAGTACAGTTAGTGCAACAATGTCCACATCTACGGCCTCCTGTATGGTAACCGAAGCTATTTCAGGTTGCGCTGCAGCATGTTTAACTCCCTGGACAACCTCATTCTCCTTATGAACATCCTTAATTTTGTTTTCCCCCTTTTCTTCCTTATATTTTTCCTCATCAACCTCCCCACTTTTTTCCACCGTATTATCACCCTTTTTTTCGCTACCAGCTTATTGCAAATAAATGGGTGGTGCCCATATATCTTGCAATGGAAGCGAAAATTGGGGAATGTTTCATAAACCACGGATTGTTTAATTACCTTTCGGGACGGTAGTCGAATAGGAAATGATATTGGAGGTGGTTTTGAAACATCAACTTCGATTAGAACTCTAGCAAAGTGGTGATTAGATCTATCGTATGTAACTTTGTCCGTAGTAAGCGGGACACCAACCATAGATGCAATTTCACTTAAGGCATCCTCATTCCAAAGTTTCATGTTTAAGTTAGGAAATTTAATCGAAATAGAAACTTTGAGAAATTCCTCATCATCAAATGAAAAATCCTCTGACAATGCTTTAAACATAAGCAATTTCCCAAATATAGTGTAAGGCCCCTCCTTCAACACTTTTGCCCTATCTTCATCACTTTGAAACTTAAAGATAACCCCAAGTGTTCTTCAAATCATAAATTTCTTTTAGACCGGGAAAATTTCCGGTGAAACTCCCAACCAAGCAAAATCCCCACATTTCTACCATACTAGGCATGACCCTATCAGAAAAGTCTATGGATGTGCCATTAGGCGGGATGTACCTCAGTTTAAAGCCATTCAAAGGAGCACGATTATCCTTAAATAGGGATGACTGTGGTGTAGCATTAACCTGCACTTCAATAGCAGGAGTAGTTTTGTTTGAAAGTTTTCCACTCCCAGTAGCATCAGGTTGCACTGCAGCAGTTTCAGCAGGCATGCATGGCAGAATGAATCATCCCTGTAACTTGCTTCACTTGCTTCCCAGAAGACTGGATAAACACCATAGCCACATCCCCTGCCTTAACACTAGGCCCAATAAATTCCTTCAGAGCAAGGAATTCCTCATCTAATCCGTCAAGCAAGTTGAAAGAGGGGTTTGACCTGGTAACCCGTCTCTGAAACGTTTCACCGTGGGTCATCTTCTTCCTTGCTATATCAGTCGTCAACCGTAGGTAAAAGAAACATAAAGCTCAGTTAGGAAGAGCATGAATCACTCAACCAGTTCGCAACTCCAACCCAGCCTAAGAAATCAAAACCTAAAATTGGAAACGGATACAATAATCACTCAACCCCAAAAGCTTTTTTCCATCTTCCCGGCGACCCCCAAAGGAAGGTCTGAACCCAGAGCCTCGGATATCAACCTAAGATAGTCGTGAACAGTAGATTCGCAGTTTCAATTTTTTGACACAAATCTCTCTTCCAATCTCAAATCAAAGACGAATTTGAGTTTAACAAGTGTTAACCTACTTCGAATCAGTAAAGGACATCATGCTTCGGTCATGAGGATCCATCGATGGTCTGAATCGCGGAAGAAGAGATGGGTCGCAGGTCTTCCCAGGAGAGAGACTCTCTCAACTTCTTTCTGACTTTTTAGAAGCGCCTTAGTTAATGTTGCGGCACGACGCCATGATTGTGTTCATTCTTCTTTGTTTGGATCGCGTAGATCCATTGATAAGTTCGTATTATAACACGCATTTGATGTGTGTTGGGATCGGCTTTTGATGGTTTTCCTAGCTTTAAGGTGTTACAAGTCTCAATTTTAGCTCAAGTTATGTTTACCAGGCCTTGGTTCGAGTAATATGTCGTTTGGAATCAAAATCAGGAATTTAGAGTCTGGGACCAGCGCTTGAGGAGCAATCGGGATGATTCGAGATGCATTAGAGAGTGAATTGAGAGCCTTGTAGGTCACTGGGAGGTTCATGATGAAGATTTGATGTTAAAAGAACTTTAGGATTGGCTACGGGATCAAAAGAAGATGAATAGAGCTTGAAAACGGCGATCATGATGACCTTCTGTTAATCTTTCAAGCATATCTCTTTGTAGAAACGTCCACAGGACACGCTTCAAGTTTCACATGAAAGCTGACTTCAAGGGATACAAATCATATGAAGACACCATTACGAGAATCAGAGAGGAGAAAGGTGAAAACAGACGACGAAGTCCGATGATCTCTGTTGCGATTTCAGAATGCCACCTTCCACCATTTTATTCATATCTTTTGATTGGATGATTCAAATCCAATTTTTAAAGTTGTGGTGGATAGAGGACTTCATTATCTACAACTTTAATTCCATGTAGCAAGTTTTGTCAAATTCGGACTATAGAAACGGTGAAGAACAGGCCACGCACGGTCGTGCCTGGAGGGACGCACGATCGTGCGTGAAGATGAAACAAGCGTGAAACTACTGCCAAGGAGGCACGATCCTGCCTAACCAAGGAGGCACGATCGTGCCTATATACGAAACGCGCGATTCCTCCGGAGGCACGGAGGTAGGCACGATCGTGCCTAGCATTGTGCCTACCTCCGGAAATTTTAGTTTGAGCTGAATTTCTCTGTTTTCTATGAATAAGGCCTCCATTCTCCTGTTTATTGGTTACAAACATTACAGAGAGGCCTATGGATGAATTTATCTGCGTTTTTTCCAAATTTTTGTAATCATTTATTTCTTTGCTAAATTATAAGGATGAATAAAGGTTAGGTTAGCGTGGGTATGAAAATTTGTTAGTGTAACATTAAAGCTTTTTGTAGTATTACTAAACTCTCAGGTAATTGTACAGAAATGTTACTTTTGTTTCATAACGTCTGTCAACATCCCATCCCGTTAACATAGCCTCCCCAGTCCCCACAAATCACTTTTCTTCCCAGCCCATGATGCATCGAACGCAGCAGATTGCCTGGTGCTAAGGATCACATTACCCCCTCTCAGAGGGAAGCTCAGTGCTACTCAACTATCTTACTAGAGGGGTATAGTATGCCTTCCTTCTAGTATGTTATGTCTTTTTTAAAAAACTGTTAATATGATTGACTATATTTGATGTTTCAAATTTACTAACAGTAGGGTACTTAGACAATCTATTCAACATAGAAGTACTATACTCTAAGTTATTACCTCACCCTGTCACCCAGATGGTCCAAACATTATGTTGGATAAATTTACTCTAATATATTATTTTGTAGCTATTAAGTTGAAAATAGGGAAAGACTATTCTGAAACACTTTTTCACTCCACCATTATATTTTTTTTGCCTGATGTTAACTTGCAAAGAATTTTCCCATATACTGAGCTATAGTGGAAGCAAGATATAGTACTTTAGACAAAATATAGACTAACAATAACAACTTTTCATAGCTATATTGTTAATATGTTTTTCTTTTATTTTAATGAAATTATTTATGTTAAAACCTTAGTATATAGTTTTTTCCCATGGGACATTAATGGTTTTTGAAGGCCACACTGAAAGATATGATTATTAACTTTATAAATTAATAAACTTTGTTTTAAGATGAATTGAAAAATATAACCTAAGTGGTCTCTTGGAGCTGTACTTCAAAAGTAGCCCGTATGTAAAAGTGAAGCTTTCTGTTTGCGGTTTTCATCTTTTTATATATTTGTTTTAAAATTTTGAAGAACAGAAGGTGTTATTTCTTATTGATGCATGGTTAATCTAACTCTGATTGAGACAAGTACCTTCTTTATTAACTAATAACTTAAAGTTTGAAGGTAGGGAGAAGATACAACTATACAAGTATGCTCTTCATTAACTATTAACTTAAGCTTAATAGTTGTACTTCATATTTATGATTTAAAGTGCTAATTTTATTATTTTTAATGTCTTTTGTTTGAATTGTAATTTTTATATCATTAGTTTCTTTGTGTATTATGTCAGCAACTCAGCGTATATTTCTGCCCTGAACCGCCGGAAGAAAAATGCTTTGTGAGATTGGTTTAAAACTGACCCAACACTTTGATCTCTTTCTACAAAAGGTTCAATTCTCGAAGGATTCTAGGATAGCAGAGGTGGATGAGGAGGATAGCAGAGGTAGATGAGGAGGGGGATCACGTTCCACATGTCATGGATTCTTCCACTTTATTTTTGTTTCAGGCCCTATGTACTCCCGCAATGCTAATAATCGGCTGGAATACTTATTTAAAGAATGTATTCTAAGATTAATTTAATTTGTATTGGATTTTTATGATGTTTTTGTGATACTTGATAAGTGAATATTATGGGTGGTTCATGAAATATCAAGAAAGGCTTCTTTTTCTAATATATATGTCTTATTTTGGTTTAAAATATGTTTGAATATCTACTGGAAACTTTAATGAAAACATGATGTAATGAAACATGTGGTACGAGTATGTATTTGTATTTTAAATGTGAAATACAATTGATGTGAGTTATTGTTGCGGTCATTACCTACCCGCAACAAAAGGAATTTTTTAAAAAAAAAATATGATTTGAGTATTTGTTGCGGTTGTGAACCGCAACAAATAAGAAAACTTACAAATTGCTGCCCCTTCAATTGATGCGGTTAAGAACCGCAGCAAATAAGTAAAAATAACCGCAGCAAATAGCCTTTATTCTAGTAGTGATTATTTCTATTCATCTCAATTATGTTAATTCTTCAATTATGAATTGTGAGTAGTTTAATAAGAGATTTGGGGTTGATGAAGGGGTTGATCATGATGTATGGCTAGATTCTTGATGGATTAATTGCATGAATGCTGTTTAATTTGTGTTTGAATAATTTAACTGATATCTCTTGTAACCTAGAACACGCGCTAGAACTACAATTGCTTGTAGAATAAATTAAGAGAGATCTAGTTTATTCTAGGACACCTTCACACACACTTAATCGTTCGCTAAGAGATTAGTAGCGATTAAGGGGCCGTAAGCTCGCTCGTCTTGGCAATAATTTAGGATCCTATCGCATGAGAAATCGGCATGGACCCCTAAGTTATTGTACTCTACGCCGCGAGAGCGGTAAGAACTTAGTAATGATTAGCTAGACTTTATTAAATTAATTTCATGTAATTAAGCCTGATCTGCCAGAAATCTGGTTACTCCAGAATCA